TGTTTAAGACAGGGTCTTGCTATGCAGCCCAGGCTAGCCTTGAGCCCACTTTGTAGCCCAGGCTGGTCTTGAACTTCCAATGACCCTCCTGCCTCAGCCTCTCAAGTGCTGGGATTATAGGTGTGTGTCATCATGCCCTACAATTACATTTATTTATTTATTTATTTATTTTGGAACTGGGGATTGGTCTCAGTCCCTTGTCCTTGCCAGGCAAGCACTTATTCTACTGAGCTATCTCCCCAGCCCCTACAATTACATTTTTTTTAAAAATTATTTATTTATATGTGTGTGTGTGGCCAGCTCGGCCCACCAGGGGGCGGGGCTGGCTGGCCTGCGGTGCTGGGGGATTGAACCGCGGTCCCTGTGCTAAGTAGGTGCTTTAGACCCCTGAGCCATTTTACCAGCCCTACAATTACATTTTTAAAAGGCGATGTTCCTCATTTTATACTTGTCTGGTATTTCATGATTCAATTCAGGTTTTGTGTTTTTAGGATATTACAATGATGTGAAGATACTTAACAAAACCGGGCCATTTCTGCCTTCTACTGGGATCAGATTCTTTCCACTTTTCCTGCCTTTCTCCACTCTGTCCCCGTCCTATGTCCACCCCCCATTTACACAGTCAGAGGGCCAGAGGCTCTCTTCAGGCGGTGCAGGTCTGCACCAACCACAGTTTTTTTTTCCTTGTGTCCCCGCCCCAAGCCTCTGAGGGAGCTGGAAACCCAGTGTCGTCTTCTTCTTCTTCTTCTTCTGTTTCTTCTTCTTCTTCTTCTTCTTCTTCTTCTTCTTCTTCTTCTTCTTCTTCTTCTTCTTCTTCTTCTTCTTCTTCTTCTTCTTCACCAGCGTCTTGTTTTTTTTGGGGGAGGGGTGTATCTGGGATCGAATTCAGGACCTTGCACTTGCCAGGCAGGTGCTTGTGCACTGAACTATCTCCTCGGCCCAAACCCAGCGTCTTACTGCTCTGTTCTCAACACCTACAGCGGTACAGTTACACAGTGGGCGTTCAATGCAGTATTGTTGAATTAACTAATGAAAAAAGGGCTACGAGGTAACTGAGTAGGCAGGCTGTAGCCAGAAGGCTGCTCTCGGGTCTTGCAAAAATAGCCTGAGTAGGGCTGGCCAGATAGCTCAGTGGATTAATGCGCCTGCCTAGGCTGAAGCAGGGACTGGGATTCAATCCCTGCCTCCCCACTGAGCCGGTAACTGAGCCTGGGCATGGTGTCACGTGCCTGTAATCCCAGTGCTTGAGAGGCTGAAAACAGGACGATCACTAAGAGTCAGATCTATATAGTAAGACCCTGTAGACCCTGTACTAAATACAAAAAAAAAAAAAAAAAGAAAAAAAACCTGAGTACTGTTTGTTTCTGTTTGCCTCTAATTCAATCTCTATGTCAGGAAGGCTGAAAATACTAATATAATCATATTTTGAACAATTTAAAAAGAATTTCCAGGGGCTGGTGAGATGGCTCAGTGGTCTAAAGCACCTACTTAGAACAAACTAAAAGCACAGGGACCGCTGTTCAATCCCCCAGCACCACATGCCAGCCAGTCCCGCCCCCTGGTGGGCTGAGCTGGCCACACACACACACACACACACACACACACACACACAAATAAATAAAATTAAAAAAAAAAAAAAGAATTTCCAAGTCTTACAGCATGCCATATTTTGTTATCCCTACTCTTTTAGTTTTTTGAGACTATGTAATCTAGGCAGGCCTTGAAATTCACAACGCAGCCCAAGCTGGCCTGGAGCTTGCGGGCATTGTCCCGCCTCAGCCTTCCAAGCACTAGGATTACAGCTGTGCACCGCTGCGTCTGGCAAAGTAAAGAGAAGCCACCAGCCCTATTTATCAGGTAACAAGATGGAGGTTCGAGAACGGAAGTGCTGCTCGCGGCCACTCACCGGTTCGCAGCCTGGCTGGACCGACCACAGATCTTCTAGGTCGACGCCCTTGCTTCTTTCCTGAATTTATCAGCTGCGCCACCTGGCACAAGTGACCCCACCCCCAGGTTGTGCTCAGGAAGCCCGGGTCGTACCGGGGCAAGCCCGGGTGGTACCGGGGCAGCACGTGAAAGCCCGGGTGGTACCGGGGCAGCACATGGACTTTCGGTCAGCTATAAGTGGGCAGGTGGAGGAGATGGGTGAAAGCAGATGGAGGAGGATTTTGGAGAAGGATTTGACTGCGGTGAGGTAGAGCTGAGGGCAGAGCAGCGCTTGGTCCATCACTTCGAAGTCCCTGCCCCTCCAAAACAACCCCAAGAAGTGGCCCTAGCTTGCTGTCCCTCTTCAGCCCATCCCAGCCGGGTGCACAGACCTGAGCTGGGAACAGCTGCATCTGGAGTGTTGCCC